TTAATAATGCACACATACCATCTCATGTCTATGTGGGTATGGTGAGACAAAAAATGGCTCCTCAAAAGATATTCATGTTCTAATTCTTGAAGCCTATGAGTGTTATCTTACATGGAAAAATTAAAGTTATTTTCAGATGTGATTAAAGTTCAAGGTATGGGAGATTATCCTAAATTATTCAGATAGTCCTTAAATGCAAACCCATGAATCCTTAAGACACATACCCAAAAGAGAAGGTTCTGTGAGTACAGAGTAGAGAGAGCTTTGAAGATCTCACTCAGAGACTGGAGTGAAAAAGCTTCAAGCCAAGGGGGGCTGTCAGCTACCAGAAGCTGAAACAACAAAACTAAACCAAACAGGAAAAGCATTCTGCTCCAGAGTTTTCAGAAGGAGCACAGCCCTTCTAACTCCTTGATTACAACCCAGTGATACTGATTTTAGATTTCTGTCAATACTGTAAAAAAATAAATTTATTATTTTTAACTGCCAAGTTTGTGATAATCTGTTACAGCAGCTATAGGAAACTAATAAGGAGATTCGGAGAACATGCAGTTCATAGGCCATATGTTCCACTGTTAGTTGTGTAGTTCCCACCAAGACCTGGGAGCAATCTAGAAGATTCAAAAGAATAATAGGTATGTGCTGAAGAGAGCATATATTTGTGATAACATCTTAGCAATCTGTGTTATGATTCTCACAGTGGTGTTGACAAAGGAACCAGGCAGTTTTCCTATTTGCCATAGACTTTTGTTTGTTTGTTTGGGTGGTTGTTTTTTTTTTTTGTTTTGTTTTTTTGTTTTTTTACAGTGCTAGGAATTGAACCTGGGTCCTTATGCATGCTAGGTAAGCACTCTACCACTAAGTTACACCCCAGTTCTGCCACAGATATTCTTAAGATAAGTGGATATACTGAATTGTGAGCCCTGATTATGACAGCACCTTGAACTGTTCCCTGAACTTGCTGCAGAATCTTCGCTTACTGAATTTCCCACGCAAAACTGTCAGCTTTACTGGTAACATTCTAGTTGGCTTGAAGTAGTACAATCAAATGGAAATATGTTGTCTTCATCACTCAAACAGCCCTAACAATCATCATGCCTGTTATTTCATGGTAAATGACAATGATGCAGGAGCTTGTCTTTCCCCTTGAAAGGGATCCATGTATATGCTTCACATCTTTAATCCTTCAGAAACTTCAAAGTGAACAGCCCTGATTTTTGGTGGGATTCATCTCCCACCTGCTAGTTTGCATTTATCTTAATAAGTTACTTGAAGTTCTTTCTATATCTTGCAAATCAGATCCAACCAGTATAAAGTTGTAAATGTAGTAGACATATATTGTGGGATGTTTTGGGAATTTTTAAGGTGATCAAGATGTCTGTGAACAACTTTCTTATRGCAAGAGACAGAAGAACTTACTTGGCCTGAGGCAAAACTGAATATGTGCTCTTGATAGTGTAAAGTAAATGCAAATTTCGTTTTCAATTTGCTCTTACCAATTGGTATGTACAAAAAAAAGAAAGAAAAAGAAAAAGAGCATCAGCCAGGCCAGTTGTTACAGTTGAAGTCTCCACTGACTATGTTCATGACAAATGACACCCAGTCTCTAGGATGCACTTCACTTCTTCATAGGACATGCAAACGAATTAAACGGGATGGAATAGGTCTGGCTACCTTTGCTTCTTATAGGCTTTGATGATGACATTCATCTCCAGCTTCTGGTTTACTATCTTTACAAGGACATTTTAGAGAGTTCTACTTATGCTTTTCTATTATAATAGAGCTTCCCTATGGGTCAGAGAGCTAAGGTATGGACACTGCCAGTTGTCAAGTATACAATTCCAATTATACATTCAGGAACTGAGGACATCCATTGAGCAATTGGGCCCACTGTGAATTGGCTTAAATTAAGATTCCATTTATCACCTGACTAAAAAAAAAAAAAAAAAAAAAAAAAAAAGATTTACTATAGCAGGCCTGACAATTATCTTTTGAAACTTCTGCTTGAAATACTAACCCTTGGCTGGTAACTGGAAACACTTTCATTCTCTTCCTTTGTGGCAAATCAAGTCAGAGTTTGGAGTGTTAGTTCTAGAATTTCTTCTATTATAAAGCTTAAGCCTCCTACCTATTCCTTCTTAGGGTTACAACTCAATTAGTCAAAAATACCTGTAGATCAAGGCATTCTGATTACTGGGCTATCCAAGCTGCTCTTTATGGGAAATGTGCCCATATTACCTTTGGAATTTAAATGCTACCACCAAGTCTCTGATAATCTTAGAATCTCCTTCTTGTCAGTCAGGARCTCATCTCACTAGTGGTATCATGCATGGATAGTCCTGGCCTAGGAAAGAGGGCAAAATCCCAAACCTTTACAGGAATGCAAGCAAGTCTCCCACAACATATTTCTCAACGCCTTAGTGAAGGGAGGGCTTTGGAGGCCTTCTTGTGAAATATTTTGGGAGATTAGACTGCAGTTCATACATGATAAATGCATTATAACATGCATATCTTCCCAAGCTTTTGGGTTMTTTTCTTCAGATTATGCCAGAAAAACTCTAGCATCTAAACTKCATTAAATGTAGGCCACTTTAAGTACAAGATTCAGCCGACCAAGCAAGCAAGCTATTAGAGCCACCTCCAGCTGCACAAGCTAACATATCACATCAGGAATCTCTAGTGAATGTACCCATTAATGAATTTTACCTAATTTAAAATTCCCTGCTCTCTTAATCTAATATCTGCAAAAACCTCTCCCAGTATAGTTCCAAGGTTTCTGCTGACTATGTATTAGCAGAATCTTCCAATTTTTCTCATGTGTAAACAATTATCCCCCAGGTCATGATGTGTACCTATCCTCTGGAGCATATAGATTTCAACTTAGYTATGTCTAGTGGCCTTGGTGGGTAATTAATAATCATGAAAAATATGAACTTCACCTGTCAATACATCTATCTCAGATGGTTCAATAACAAAATTCTAAGCAAAAAAAAAAAAAGAGAGAGACTAGTTTCCTCAGATTCAGGAAAGTGAACTACAGCTACCGACAAATGAGATTCAGGAGATTGAGGAGTTAAAGACCAACAGTTTCATTTGGATCCAGTCAGATGTCTTCATTCTAACTTTTGGTATCACATCCTTCCCTAAACAGATCCCTTACTTTTCCCTGAGAAACACTGAAAGATTGAATTTATCAGATCTCAGAATTCAGCCATAGACCCAATTAAAATGGGATTTTGAGAAAATTTTGGTAAAATCTCAAGACTCTTCTTGATATCAGAATGAGAGAAATAAGGAATAAACTGAGTTGCTGAATAAAAGAGAGGCTCCTAACCATAGTTAATATTTATGAGGTACTTAACATGTGTCAGGCACTGCCCTTAGGGGTTTATACACACTATATTGTATCATGCATCCATTTAATTTTTTCACATTGCACTCAGAAACTCCAAGGCTCTAGTTATAGGGCTGGGGCCTGCTATGTAACTGGGGAGACCCCTTCTTCAATCCCTGATTGTTGCCATCATTCCAGAAAGATTTCCCACATGTCACTCAGAGTAATAAGTATATGTTTATTAGAGGGAATAGGAAAGGGGAAAAGGGGACACTCTCAAGGGAGAGAGTGGGTTCTTTCAGAAGCAGAGGAAGTAAGTCTCTCTTGCCCTCCTTTAATGGGTGGGTGRGGAGGGGTCACAGGGAAGTTTCCAGACAGTCCTGCTGAGGATCACATCTTGACTTTTGACTGACGGTAGGATGATATCAACCTTCCAAGCTAGTTGCACATGGTACCTCTAGATCACTTTGGTCCATGTTGACTTGTTCTAATTGAAACCTGTTCTTACAGATTTTGTGCTTAAGAGGAATTATCCTTATCATCCTGACTTCCAGATTCCAGTCTACACAACAGTCACAAAATCTCCCAATTCAGTATAATTTGTGCTCTTCATATCAGCATTTGGGGCCTGCATTTCTCTTGCAGATGACTGGTAGTTTGATGAGGAAGGTAACAAATCCCATCAACCTAAGCCAGGCAGGGATGCRGGTAAATTGCTTCTTAAAAAGGAAAGAGAAGGTTAGCACAATGGGCCCAGTTTATAGAATTACTCCCTTAACCTCATGTTCCCACCACTCACTGTCCACTTCCTCTCACTCTGACACGACATTTAGGTCCTCAGTGATCTTCGACCTTGCCTACCTCTCTGACCTCTCAGTTTCTTCAGAAAATTTCGATCATAAATCTCTCTTTGCAACTCAGTTTCAGTGCCCTCCTCCAAACTGCCTTTCTAAAGCAGTTCACTCCCTACTTCATGAGCCCCCACATCAAGGCCGTGCCTTACATCATTTGTTACCATGTCCTTGGTTTTTATTTCTATTTATTCTATGTCTACATTTTTTTTTAGAATTCTTTCATTTTGTTTATTATGTGATTACTATCACTCCAGGAGACTGGCAGAGGCCATGGCTGTCTTGTTCCCAAGGCAGAGCACCAGAGAAAGTGCTCAATAATCAGAGGCAGGATTTCCACAACTCTGGTGTTTCCAACAAGCACACCAAAGCTTGGTGATCCGAATTAACTTATCCTGTCACAGTGAACGAAGGACGGGAATCCTGACTCTTCAAGCCAGAGCTGGCCCGCACCTACAGCGACCCCCAGCTAGCAGAAGAATCAGGAAATCCCCTCCCACTTTTCAGTGACAGGGCGGCCGAGGAAACACAGCATTCTCGGAATCCACACAAAACTAACCCGCTGAGGCGCGCCATTTCTCGACCAGCCTGGGACCCCTACCCGCCGAGTGTCGAGCCTCCGGCCACCGAGCCCCCACCGCTCCGCTGTCGTGCGCAGGCGCGCTGCCCACTTCCGCCTGGGGCGGGGTCGGCGCGTCGGGGGCGGGGCCAGGCGGCGGCGGGGGCGGGGCCAGGCGGCGGCGGGGGCGGGGCCAGGCGGCGGCGGGGGCGGGGCCAGGCGGCGGCGGGGGCGGGGCCAGGCGGCGGCGGCGGCGTCAGCACTCGCAGCCTGCGCTCCTATGGAGCTGGGGGGTCGCCGGGGCCTGGGCTCGGCGTCGGGGCTGGCCTCGGCGACCCGGGAGCCCCCGCCCGAGCCGAGGACGGGGACAAAGGTGGGGCCTCCGGGCCCCGGCGACGTCCGAGCCCGCCGCTTCCTGCTCTGCCTCTACCTGGTGGGATTCCTGGTGAGTGCGAGCCGGGCTGGGGGCCAGGTAGGCTGGGTCAGGGGCCGGGGACTCCAGCGAGGCTCCGCGGTGTTCAGGCTCCGGGGATTTGCAAAGCTCAGCCGGGGATGCGGTCCTGCCATCTGCTTGTTCAGTTGCCTCCCTGCCTCTCAAACCTCAATTGTCCCTGTCACTCGTCACTCACGTCCCTCTGCATCTGGCCCCACAGCCTGCTGTCCTCCCTGCTTTCAGTTGGACCCGGTCCTGGGCGCCCTTGACCTCCCCCTGCCGTTTTAAGAGCCCCAGAACTAGCTTCCGATGTGTCTTATTGATCTAGCCGCYCTCGAGGGTGACCCTGGGGGTTCAAGTCTGAGAGCGACCTGGGGAAAGGCCAGCTGCTGCTGGGGCAGCGGCTGCGGCCGACCAGGGTAGGTAGGGAAAGTCTGTTGATGATCCCACCTGGACTGAATTAGGCACATTTTCTTTCGGGCTCCCCGTTGACTTGATGTTTGAAAATGCAAATCACGTGAACCTTACACTTCTTCCTTTGGACAAAACGTTTCTGTATTGCACAACACAGGTTTCCTCTCTTTATGATGTGTGTGTGCGCGCGCGCGCCCGCTCGCAGGTTGGGGCCAGAAATAGTCATTTCCCCCGTGGATTTGAAAACTTGGAGAACCTAGAGTGTGGTAGGGTAAATCCATTAATTTAGTATTATGGAATTTTTGAACATGTGCCATGTGGTAGGTGCCATGGAACTCCAATATTGTAATATGGAGTTCCTGCCACCAAAGAACTTAAAATTCTTACCCATAAGCTTTCCTTGGTAGTCCCCAACCACTATAACTGCAGTGGCCCTGATCCACTTCCTCACCCCCCAACCCCTTCTAAGTCTGACTTATTGTATATAAGGGAGATCTCTCGGCTTCCAATCAGTATTGCAGACCCTGTGCCTGTCATGTTCTCAGGCTCCATGCCTTTGACATCAGAGCCTGGCACTCCTTCTGCCCAGCTCCCTTCTTCCTTTCATCTTTTTCCTTGATTCAGTCTTAAGATGCACGTGTTTTTCCTAATTTCAGTCTAGTTGCCCAGAATTCAAAACTAGTGAAGCCATCCACCCTCTGAAAAGTGATGTGGACTTCCAGCAATTATGGCCCAACTGGACCACTTTTGCCAAATGGAAAGAAAATTTGAGCCCTCCCTCGCAGAAACCAGATTTGTTTTCAAAAGGTTTTGGAAACTAACATTACCTAGAATTCACAATAGTTATTTGAGCTTTACAGTACAACAAATCATTTCAAAGATCGTTCATGCCGCTCAGCCTTCCAATATGGATTGCTATATTCACAGCCTCTCATATATTTTCCATATTATGTGTGATGGCGAATATAATCTAGAAAGCATGATGTAAAATTTTGTGATTTTAATGATGTTTTGGAAAAAAAAATCATTAGATGCCTAATATCTTCAGGGGAAAATGCAAAATTTCCAGAAAACCAAGAGTAGAGAGAGATTTTTTTTTCTCTGTTTGGTGGAAAATGTTGTAAACAATTAAAATATATGCAGCTTTGTCTATCTTTGAAGGATCTAATGCTCCTTTGCTAGGTAGATTAAGGAATATCCTATACAAATTATTATTCTTGATATGTTTAGATATGTAAGAATGCCTAAGACTCCTGGAAAAAAAAAAATGGTTTCTGATTGGGAGACAAAGGGAACAAGATTAGAAATATATGTCAGAATGTTCTATTTTAGCTCTTACCTGTACTCTCATGTTTTAACTTATTTTAAAAAGAAAACTAAGATGACCTGATAGGCCTTTGTTGGTTAGGAATCTAAGATATTAAGATATATGATTTTAATCCTGTCTTTCCTCCAGAACCCTGGTGAGATATCTACTGTTTCATTAGCTTTTAGCAAATGAGAATTCACTTTTGATGTGGTAGTCCACCAACAAAGAAATAGGAAGGAGTTCCTACCTTGAAAAAGGTGCCAAATTTTTTCATGTATTCATCAGTTTTCATTGAGAGATATTCATGTTCAGTGAAAGGCTTAGGTGACCCCATCTGACCTGACTTTCTTATAAACGATTACAAGCATATGATCAGTTGCCAAATGCAATGTACCTTCAAAGATGGTGTTTTGGGAAGCTATGGATTCAGAAGAAGAGAGGACTTGTCTTTTATAGTAAAGGAGATAGCAGATTTAGAATAGGACTTCCTGAAAGAGCCAGCAGCCGGGCTCCTTAGGAAAAGATAGACTTTTTCAGACTTGCATAGTACTAAAATAATACTAAGCATCAGCTATTGCTTCTGAATCTGTATTTTCATATTTACCTTCCATTGATCTTGGCCTGTGACATAAATATTTCTCTCCCATCTTTAACCATTTGAATATTAAATGACACAATACTGGGACACTTTCTGGGGAAAAAAAAATCTTATTGGGCAATTGAGTATCTTTTTCTGAAATATCCAGAATGCTCAATAGCTGGTTGATCCAGCATGACAGAAAGAGATAGAAATATCAGAAGACTGATGAGACAGAACTGATAGAAAAGCCCTAAAGAAATTGATGCAGCCTTTAAAAAAAAGTTTAAGTAATTATAAAATTGACTTGATAAGCCATAGTTTTGGAAGTATACATTTATGAGCTAAGAATACTAGATATTTGGTATATGGCTATCTAAAGATGTAACCATGAAATAGAACCTTTGAAGTATATGTGGACATTCATACTTCTCTTATTATGTGAATGCACAGCTACCAGAAGCTCAAATATTAGCTCTGGGCCTAAACAAAATATTTGTGTGTGTGTGTGTGTGTGTGTGTGTGTGTATTCTTTCAATTTAACCAGGTGTGTAGAAAAGGGAATTCAGGCTTTATAAAAAGTATGATGTATACATTGTTATTCTTCCCCTAAGCCAGTTGTAGAAGGTAACCAAGTGAAATGAGAGCAAAACTTAAAGGAAAATTAAATCTTCCTAGTAACTCCAAATACCCAGCAGGGACATAGTTATCCTCAGAACTCAAGAAAGGAGATGGATTTGAACCTCTCTTTTGTGTGAGACCTTCCTCGGCCATTGTGCCACTTAATACTCATGGTGGTTTTACCAGGCAGGAATTAGATCCATTCTTCACAGAAGACAGCACTGGAGTGTGGTAGCAGTAAGTAGCGTTTCTAGGGCACAGGTTCACTACGGGCCCAAGCTGGAATTGAAAGCTGTCTTTCCCACCCATCCACCCATGCACTTTTTGTGACTTGACTGCAAAACATCACCCTTCCCAATATGCTTCTCTCTCCTTCCTGCTATCCTTAGAATTTCTTTTCATGTGTTACCTTATGAAGATAAACTGCAGGTTCTAGCATATTTGCTGCTTTTTCTACCTGCACAAGTACATTCTAATTTTTAATGAAGTGCTGCTTCACCAATAAATACTAATCATCCCTCCCTCCTCTCCTTCATCTTCCATAGAACATTGTGGGTTTTTCATTTGCTTGTTGTTTTTATTTGAGAAAATTCTGTTACACATCCTCCTTGAATGTTAAGGGTCAACTACAAACAAGGTGATGTTAAAAATCGATCCTAGGTCAGGCTTTTACACCTGACAGCTGTTATAACACGTTTTATTAGGATTTCATCCTAACTTCAACTGATTAATATGGCATACTGTGGAAGCTTTGATATCTTGAATGTTAGAAGTTTAGATGTTGGATTTATTTTTAAAATCTGTTTATAATTTTAAGATCAACACTTAAAAAACTGGTAGATTTCAGTACTGACTTCAATCTGTGTTTGCTTTCTTAGGATTTATTTGGTGTCAGCATGGTTGTTCCTTTATTGAGCCTTCATGTCAAGTCCCTTGGAGCAAGTCCTGCAGTAGCTGGAATAGTAGGTGGGTGGTTACTGGTGCTCATTTACAAAGCACTGGATTTGAAATCCTCTGAACTTAGTACCTGAAAATRTCTCAGTCTTACAGCCAGATAGAATCCAAACAAGGTAAATGAGAAATGAGAGAAAATGAATTTTCTGAATATTTAAAATATAATCCTGAAGCAAACATAATTCATCTTTTCCTGGAGTACCCATTTTTAGAATGACTTTGAAGTTGGAGTGCTGACCCTATATCCCATACCACCACTGGTGCAACCAGTATACTGGTATAGCCTGTCTAGGGATCTGTCTCTGTTAAAGGATAGAAATGAACTCTTGCCTACAGGAGCCTATAATCTCATTTGAGAGATCAGAGAGAGTCTACAGAAGTCACATCTGTGGGGATGGGCTTGGATGAGCCTTGGTAAATCAGTTGCAACCTCTCTGCAGTACTACCAGTACTTCTTAGATGGGGTTTCTCTGCCTGTGCAATGTAAAAATTCTATCCAGAAGTGATTGATTAATGAAAGAGTCAGAACTTAGCAGGGTTTAAGACTATGCTGATGAACAAGAAAATCCTTAAGACCAACAGCACTTAAGCATTCACAAGCTAGAAAGCAAATGTTTTGAGAGAATTTTGTAAATAATCTTTATTAAAATCCTGATCCATACCATGATTGGTATTTTCTTTGAGAAACACACTTTGAATTATATTGGATCACCTAGACTTCTGAAGATTTTTAGGAAAAACAGAAGGAACAAGTAACATGATAATGGAGTTTAAAACAAAACAAAAAAAGAACCTCTATAACTTCCTTATAAAATTAAAGCACTTTGTAAGACTGTAAAATGTTAGAGATGTATGAGTCATTGTTAAAATTTTAAGACCGAGTAGGATTTCTCTAGAATTCATATTTCTGTTCCCTTGAGTACTCACCATGCAAGTTCTTGTGTCGGAGCCACCCAGTTCTCACATACAAAAGTACTGGTCTTTCAGGGTTTTTGAAGTCAGCCCCTGTCTATATTCTCTCTTCTGCTTTTCTCAATTTTATCCTAAAAGCCTTATGTCATTGTCTTTTTCCAACTAAGAAAACTATATGGGACAATCTCCTTTACTAAAAACAGTCCTCATGCTTTTCTGTTAATTTCTCTGAAATTGTCCCTCCATTAAATTATTTCTGGGCCAGATCTAGGGAATTTTGCTTATGTTCTTATTTGTTTTTTGTTTTGTAGGTTCCTCCTATGGCATTTTGCAGCTCTTTTCTAGCACATTGGTGGTAAGTTATCTTCCATCCGGCAGCTCATCTCAAGATCATAGCGTATGCTTCTGAGGGTCATCTATCTTAGATTGAGTGCTTAAGGTTTACAAAAGTAGGTTTGCAGATGGTTGCAATGTGCGGTGTTGTTAGATTAAGTAGGATCCTTTCGTTATGCATTCTTTTTATTTGGCCTGTGAGAAGGCGCAGAACTAAAGGGCTCAGGTGGCTTGTTCTGGGAGACACACTGGGTCAGTGGTAGATCTGGGATGAGATTGTAATCTGCTTTTTCTATAAGTCCCTGCTACGTTTTTACTGAAAAAAATGTAAACAAAAGTATTGACAATTTTTATTGTTTCGTTTAATCTGTTTGGATTTCTAGGATTCTGTTTGGGGCTGTTTAAGTTGAACTAAGAGTCTTATTATTACAAGACTTAAGTGAATCGACAGAAGCCATTTGGAGTGGTTGGTTGGTTTTAATCTGCCCACGTGTGTGGAATGATCCAGAGGCAATCCTGTCACTCTGCTTTTGACCAGTCAATAATTTGAAATTCAGAGAATTCCCCTTCTCTCTCCCTGGTGTATTCTACTGTGGCCACTCTGATTTTGGGACCTCATGGTCCAGTGATCCATAGAATGATCAGTTTAGTCTCATGGATTGATCATCAGTGACTGGTCTGAATAGCTGGCCTGATGTTCACATGTTTAGAAGAAAGATAAAGATATTCTGCATTTATGTATCCCAATAGTTGTTTCCTTGAGTTTTTAATATGCATATGTTAATATACATATATATGTATATGTATATATGTGTATTTTTTTAAAAGAAATTCAGTTGGATTCCATGATGAAATTTTAAATAACAGCTACTCCCTTATTGATCTTTGCTTTTGATGGAAATTTTTTCTTCATTTAACTGTGTAACAATCATAGTTTTATTCTCATTTAAACTTTTTAACAACCCAGCAAAGTAGTTGGTATCTTCATTTTATATTAAAAATTAAGACTCATTAGAGTTTAAATAATTTGAATCATCCACCAGTCTCGAGGCTCCTAATGTCCTGATGTCACCTGCCATTGCCTTAGTGATATAGAAATAGATGCCTGAAATTAGACAGGCACTTACTTATCAGTCAGAATGTCACCTTTCATACTCTTGTGACAGTGGAATTTGGGCTATATCTTAGTAAACACCTCCCAAAGTTTTGGTTATGTGTGTCTATTCCAGCGTGAGGCCAAGGTGCATGTCTCCCACCTCTGTCCTGGTGCACTCTGGCCTCCTGGAGATAAAGACTGGTTGTAATTGTTTGACTGTTGTCACTAGCACTTATTGGAGGACTTGACACATGGTTAGCATTTTGTAAATGTGAATTTTTACTGCTAACTATGACCCTGCCCACTTATTCAAGTCGATTGTTTTACAAAGCACTTACACATATAGCTACAAAGCACTCTTCACATATAGCTAGAATTTAATGAAAACTTTTCTTAAAAATTTGTCAGAGAAACACCTAATTAAAATTTCTTTTTTAACCAATACTTTTATAGTACATATTTTATGACTAGCATTTATTAAATTTTATGTATACGTAATTGTATATGTGGTTATATATAAATGTATCAAGTCCTGTTCTGAGAACATTGTTTAATGTTCATAATAACCAGCATGGAGGGTCATTGTTGGTCTTTAGTGATCATTTTATATTAAGCACATAGTGTTGAGAGGGGAAAATTATCTGAGGTAGAATTTATTCCTTTTTTATAAATGAAGAAACTGATTCTTAGAGAAAATAATTAATATGTCCAAAATTCAGAATTGAACCCAGATAACTTGGTCCTGCGGCCCATCACCAGGTTATACCAGTGCAATGTTAGCTGCAAGGAGGCCAGAGAACCTGAATCAAAAGTTCAGATTTCTCCTGAATTCAGGAGGCCAGTGATCCACAATCTGAAGGGAGGGGGAAATTTCTAAAATCCATTGAAATGTATGTTGGGGAGAAGATTGATGGCACTTGTAAAAGGATGGCATATTTGGAGGATTTGCCYTCAGAATGTTTCATAGAGAAATTTTAGGACAGGTTATATACTTGTGCAATGAGATCTTTTAAATCCTTAAAGATAAGCATATAAATAAAAATGGGGACAGGGAATCAGCAATTGTGGCTGGCTTCTGGCCAAGAGAGGCAAGCTGAGGTCCTGTGTTTATCAGAGGGGTGGATGTGGTCTCGTTCACCTCCTAGGCAGGACTGATGAAGACCTGTGTATTGCTCAAGAAGCAAGGCTCATCCGGGGAGCTTCACAGGCCCAGCAATCCAGTCCTTGACCCGTCTCAGATGATGCTCCATTGCTATCACAGTATCTGGCAAATTTTATTTTAAGACAGTTTTCCTTCAAACAGAACTTCACCCCGAACCTTGGTGTATAGAATGGGTCAGTGCCGTGGTTTACGGGGTGTTATTTGTCAGGCTATGTCTGTCTGCTAGTAGCAGAGCACTTTCCACGGTGTGAAGACAAAAAGTGAAGCTCAGTGCCCCAATCTGAGCATCCACTTCAGGTGTCTGAATTGCCACCAAAGGCCCAGACCCCTGCTATCTTCCTCTTCTACCATCCTTGAGTGGCTGCTCAGCCTCCCTCGTGGTGGAAAGTGTCTGAGCAGGGAGAAGGGAATGAGGAAAGAACAAAAGGCCAACCAGCCACCTCTGAAGAACCTTCTCAGAGCCTTACCTGGTAACATCCAGTGCATCTTCATAAGCAGGGCTGTCTGCTTTCAARTGAGGGCTGTTCTTTTAGCTGGATGTGTTGCTGAGGAACAGAGACTATTCAAGTAAAGATGAGCTAGAAAGGTGGCCTAGAGCCCCACGTACCTTGCTGCTCTCTTTCCACCTATGATCCACCCCAGGGAACAGCAGGACTTGAGGCAGCCTCTCTGTGCCTGTTTCTTTCCTGCTGGCCTCCGCTTGCTTAGTACCTTCTTGTGTGCTTCTCAGCTCCTGTTCCCCATGAGCTCTGCTTTCCTCCCGCAGAGGCACTGGGAGGTCCAGCTGGTTACCACCAACCTTCTAGTTCCCTACTGGGCAAGCCTCCTCCTGGCCCTCCTTGTGGTCTCAGCAAATGTCCTTACATAAAGAATGGCACAGTGGGGAGCCCATACCTGTCAGGACTCTGAGGTGGATGTGAGATGCAAACACACTGCAGTGCTAGCTTCTCAGGAGAAAATGCAGATGGTACCCATACAGAATTCATCTCATATGGAGGAAAAAAGTAAAATAACAGGGAGAAGATGCCACTTAACAAATTTGCAAATTTTTTTCATTGACAGTATACAATGTTGGAACATGGGGAACAGAGACACGCAAACCAATGTGGGATATTGATCTTTCAAGGAAGTGATTTGTCAGTGTATATCAGATACCTGAAAATATGCCTATCTTTTAACCTAACAATTCTAGTGCTGGAACTTTATTCTAAGGACATTTTCAGGGATGTTTGCTATGAGGTGCCTCTTGTAGCATTATTTATTTTGCTGACAAATTGAAAAGAACCGAAAGTCTAACAAAGAGTAGATTAGTTAAGTAAACATAGGCACATAGTGGGATGTGGAATATGATTAAAAATGAGAACATGTGATCCCAGTGACTTGGAAGGCTGAGCGGGGAGGTTCACAAACTTAAGGACAGCTTCAAAGACTTAAGAGGCCCTAAACAACTTAATAAGACCCTGTCTCAAAATTTAGAACAATAAAAATAAAAAGGGCTGGAGATATAGCTCAATGATAAAGAGCCCCTGGGTTCAATTTCCAATATCCACCCCTTCAGATGGTAACAATGGCAAATTTTTAATGACATGCAATGATGTCCAAATAATAAAAATGTAAGTTATAAAATGGAGTTCTACAGACCATTTTCTTAAAAGAAATATACCGTACATAGATTTGGGATCATGTAGATTTCTGTTCTTCATTTTGTTTTTCAGTATATTGTAAATTTTTAGACATGGATACTATCTCTGAGGAGTTTAGTTGCATAATATAATGAGAATAAATTTAAAAATGGGGCTTTGTAAATGATGTTTCACCCTTTCTTCAGATAATTCTCAGTTACCAGATCATTAGGCTTCAATTTTTAGATAAAGAAAAGTATATTTCTTTACTTTTTAGCTCAGTGATAAAGAGTCCCTGGGTTTGATTCCCAATATCTATCCCTTGTGGATATATAAAAATATATCCTGTAAAATCCACAAGGATAGATAGATATATATTTTTTTCACTACCCTTGTGGGAGGGCCAGAGGAAGTAACTTAACCTGGCCAATAGCGTAGTAGACCTGAACATCTGAGGCCCTCAAACCAGGTTCTCTGACTTGATTTTCGGGGGTCACACTGTCCTGGGCATTGTCACAGTGGTGATCATTACTGTGGATCTTTTCTTGCTTTCTTCAGGGTTGCTGGAGTGATGTGGTGGGAAGACGATCCTCCTTGCTGGTGTGCATTCTGCTAAGTGCCCTGGGTTATCTCCTCCTTGGGATGGCCACCAATGTCTTCCTGTTTGCCCTGGCTAGGGTCCCTGTGGGTAAGTGCTGGGCCATGAGTGTGTCTTCATTCAAAATAAATCTCTGTACATAAAGCCTGTCCCTTTGATTAGAGCTGACCTAAAGAAAGGGCCTTGATAACAGCAATGATAATAATAACCCTATCATCACAGCTGCTGATTATTGAGTACTTAGCTTCAATCTTGTGACAGATCCCAGAGCCCCTCAGAGTCTGTAACCACTGTGCTACTACACCTGACCTGCCCACTTCCTGGTGTCTTCTCAACAGTCAGTAACAATGTGCAGAATGTCTTTGGCCAGTGCTCTGATGACTTCCTCTCTCCGTGAGCTTCTAGTTTTATAACTGGGTTTTCTGACTTCAAATGGAGTCAGGAAATTTACCTCAGTCTGTTTCCTGCAGCCTCCTAGAAATCTGGAGGTTGTTGGGGAATAAGGCTATGATTGTGATGTAACAGCTCATGGGTTGTCTTTTTGTTTCTGGACTGGTCTTGACTATTTCTAACATTTTGAAATAGCTTTTAGTTTGTGCATTCGTTGAAATATTTTGTCTATTCTTAGAAACACCATCCATAAATTCAGCTGGTGTCTGGTGGGTGATAGTTACTATGGAAGTCCTTATTCTCTCCTGGAGCATCCGGAGACTGGAGTTTCAGTGTTTATTTCATCCTGTACCTGTGAGAGCACTGACAGTTTTTGCTACTCTGGTTCCCAGGTCTTGACAACTGGACATTTGCCCATATTCAGTCAAACTGCTTGGTCTAAATTAACACCCCAAAGGAGTAGAGCATCAGATGAGGCATTAAACATTTAGCTGATGATCAGCTCACTTGGAATTTTCACACCATTTCTGGAACACACATCTTTAGTCTAAAAGTCTATTGAGTTCACACTCTAAAATTCACAGTTTTTTCATTTACTGTAGAAAAGTGCTTGAGGTTTCAGCTCAAACATGGTGAACAATCCTAACAAACCCCTCCCAGCGCACACAAACTCCCACTGATGGCTTGTTCATGTGCATCTGGTGCTGAGTGTGCCGTGTTCTTGAAGTGCTGGCCGTGTGGTTTCTCACAGCGTGCTCCCTTTGCCCACTCACTGGCACGAGCTGTTCATAGCTAAAGAAGCTGAGGAGGAAGTTGGAGGAGAACCAGGATTTGTTACAAAATGGGTGGAGATTTATAAGGAAGATTAAAATGTTTTTCTCTTTAACATGAAGCGAACCTGGTTAACTGTTGATAGCTCTATTATATGGACATCGTCATCTTTGCAAACAAGTGAAGCTATACATAAAAATTTCTTCTTCAGGGCCCATGTGACTGCCATACCGTTTGGTGGTCATGAATGGGGAGGGAGCCCTAGAGAGTTTCACCAGTGTACTACTATGTCGTCTGTTGAGGATTTAGATCTTTGTATCCTAATAGTGAGTCACTGACTTTGAATGTGCCTGAAATGGATACCTGCTTTTCCCCTCTCGGCCTGTAAAAGACTAGAGAACCTTTCTTGGGGTTGTTCTGCAGTCCTCTTCCCTCCTATGTGTAAGGCGAATCTGACATTGATATAATTTTTTTAAAATCACAGAATTCCTATAAGACCTCTTGGGAATCATCTTCCATCCCAGCCCTTCCTTACATTAAAGAAAACAAGTCTAGAAAGACTCAACCTGCCCAATTTCTAAAAGGGACTTATAGGTTTGTTTCCAGAAGACATTGAGTGCCCAGCAGATGCACTCTCTAATTCTGAGGCCGACCTGGGCCCAGAGCCATCAGGCTGCCTGTGGGGAGTTCATCAGAAGCCATCATGTCACCTCACAGTTAGAAGCGATTCAGGCTGACTGTTGGTGGCCATGTGTGATCCACAGACTGACAGCCACTGTATGTCCATGAGAGTGTGTGTGTGTTCAGCACACGGGGGTGTCTGAGGACACAGAGTCCAATACATCCTCAGAACTGTGCAGGTACAGAATCAGCTCACGACTCTCAGGTAGTTTGGTCAACAAATCCATGACTCTAGCTAGTGGAAATCAGCTGGAATTGGGTGGATGAACGTGCACCATTTTTCGGCTTCTGCCCTGTCCTCTTCCCTGCTCTGCTCCTGCCCATGGCCTTTTACACCTTCCAATGTGTACTCTATGTTCCCTCCAGTGGAAACCCAGACTCCGGAACTGTAAGAAGAGCTTTCATATTTTTTCTCCTGGCTTTGGTCCATGGCTTTATCCTCAGGGTCAGGATCAGTGCTGGACGTCTAGTAGGCTTGCAGTAATATTTATTCAGTAAGTACATGAATCAAGAACCATAGCTTTACATGAAAGCCGCCATATGCATATGCAGATGGATAACATAGAACTAGAAAAGCTGGGATGTCATGACAGGAGTCGGGGAAGCTGAGGGTTCAGGGGCTTGCTGCCGGACATGGTGACCTACCATGGTCGTGACGCCAGCCCAGCAGTACAGTTACTGTGGGCTGGGACCTGTGGATCTTAGAGATTCAAAGAAAGTAGAGGTCAGGACTCCATCTGGGACAGAAGTGAAGTGCAGGACCACAAGGGAGATCCTTTGGGTCTGGAAGAAGTTACAGAGCATGTTTCTTGTCCTCCTGCAGGTATTTTTAAACACACCCTCTCCATCTCCAGGGCTCTGCTCTCTGATCTGGTTGCAGAGAAAGAACGGCCACTTGTACTGGGACAGTTCAATACAGCCTCCGGCGTGGGCTTCATCCTGGGCCCCATGGTCGGGGGATATCTCACGGAGTTGGACGGTGGRTTCTATCTCACAGCCCTCATCTGTTTTTCCGTCTTCCTTCTCAATGCTGGTAAGTTGATGGTTAAGCACAAGACTATACTGATCACTCATGTGTACGGCCTCTGCGTCTACCTACTTTTATCTCCTAAAATTTGTGTTTGGTTGGAATAGGCAGACTTGTTTAAAAATTAAAGTCATTTTGAAGAACTTCCATATCATTATTTGTGATGGTTACGCCAGTTTACATTCTCACCAGTAGTATGTACGACCCTTTCCTTCAAATTCTTGCTATCTTTTTTTTTTTCTTTCTTTTTTTTTTTTTTAAATAACCCTCTTAACAGAAATGAGGTAACCCTTTTTTTGTGGTTTGGTTTTGCACTTCCCTGATCTTTAGTGATGTTGAACATATTTCATGTACCTGTTGGCCATTCTTTATAAAGAAATATCTATACAGGTTTTTTGCTTTTGCCCATTTTTTCAGCAGGTTTTTTGTTTGGTTTGTTTGGGTTTGGTGTTTGTTTTTGCTGTTGAGTTGTGGGAGCACTTTGCACATTTTAGATATCACTCCTCTACTGGATATTGGGTTTGCAAACCTCAAGTCCATGCCATGGTTGTGCCTTTTTACTTTCCTGTCTATTTCCTTTGCTGTGCAGAAGCTTTTGGGTTTGATATTGTCACAGTTCTCTATTTATTCTTTTGTTGCTTGTGCTTTTTGTGTCATTTCCAAGAAATCTTACTAAGGCTAATTTTAAGAAGCTTTTTTCCTCCTTTTTCCTCAGAGAGTTGTATAATTTCAGGATCATGTGGCTCTTGAATCTGTTTTGAGTGTATTTTTGTGTTTAGTGTAAGGGAAGCATTCAGTTTCATTCTTCTGTGTGATGCATACTCTCTTAGTTGTGGTTTAAGTGAAAACATTTTTAAACTAATTTATTAAAAATTTAATAAGATTATGGTATTTTTTTTTAAAAGGAAAGAGTACCCCATCCCCGCCTCAGTCCTTCCCCACTGTGGCTTTCTGTCCATCATGGTAGTGCGCTGCCTCACGCAGCCTGCATGGCTGCACCTCCTCTGAGCACTGGCCACTGGTTCCTGGTCCTCCTCACGCTGACCAGGCTGGCTTTCAGGGGAGAGCAGTATATGCTGGTGGCTTGCCCTACCTGCCATGTTCTTCCCATATATTACTGGCTTTCTCTTCCCACCATTATTCAGGTCTCAAATATTTGCTGCCTTAGGTCTTCCCAATCATTTTGCCTGAAAGAGCTCAGTTTTCTTTATAGCGCTTTCTTTGTAGCACTTCTCTTATTAAATTGTTCTGCTTGTGTTGTATTTGTTCTCCCTCCTCCCACCACCGCCCTCCCCCAAACACACACCTCTGGCTAGCACACTGCACAAGGCCAGCTATTTTGTCAGATCTGCTTACTGCTGCTACCCCATGCAGGATGGACCAACATATGGCAGATGTTCAGTAACATTTAATAAATTCAAAGCGAGACACAGGCTGGGTGGTCCTTGGCTGCAGAGCTTGTGGCCTAAAGCATTTTTCACCATCTTGGCTAAAAGACTGGGCTGCAGCCAATCCTTGGATAAAAAGCCACATAAACAAGATAATTTGTGCTATTTAGTTTCCATTGTATTTACTCAGATTCTACTTTACTAGAACTTTCTGAATCTTCTCACTCAGGGCATGATGTTGAATGATAACCATGTTGGGTTAAACTATCAGATTCAGGAAGTAAAGTTCAGAAGTTAAATCTCTTAGTACTCATAGGAATCATGTATGGTTTTCTGCCAGGAACTTGACCTATGACCTCAGCCAGGGGGCAGGCCTGATTGGGTAAATTTGGATAAAATGACTTCAAGTACATGATCAGTAGTGGGGCCAGTTTGTGAATGTGTTATTATTCAAAGTCCAGAGTCAGCATATAAACAAAAAATGATTATGGAGTTCTAGTTTAGATTTTCCATTGATAGTGTTAGTACTTTGTCCTATTTAAAGCCTGTGAATGGATATGGGTCAGTTAGGAATACTTCAGTTGCAGGTGTTCCCAACCACTATGGCTTAAAGCAATAAGGATTTACTTGTCCCACATTTAACCTGGGCTGATGAAGGGTTCAGCAGAGGAGTGGGAGAAGGACTGGGCGAGACAGCAGATAGTCTCACAGAGGGCTCTGCCCATCCAGTGCAGTAAACACGATTCACTGCTGTTTTCTCATTCTAGTTTTGCAGTCTTTTCCTGCTATTATGATTTGTATATAAGGTGTCTTGAAAAAAATAAATAAATAAATAAAAGTTCATGTGTTAATGCAGGAATATTTAGAGGCAAAATGATTAGATTATGAAGGCTGTGCCCTAATCGGTAGATTAATCTATATGTTGTATTAATAATTTGAATGTCATACTGGGTGGTAACCATAGGTAGAGTGTGGCAGGTCACTGGGGATGTGCCTGTGGGGGATATATCTTGTCCTGGCACTTTGACCTCTTTTTGCTTCTGGGTGCCCATGAGCTGAGCAGCCTTCCTCTGCCGTGCTATTGTACCATGATGTTCTGCCTCATCTCACCTCAGCACCAGAGCTATGGAGTGGTCCCATCATGAACTGAAACCTCTGAAACCATGAGGCCCAGATAATCTTTTTCTCCTCTAAAAATTATCTGGTATTTTAGTCACAACAATGAAAAGCTGGCTGACACACCTGCCCATGTGACTTTAGTTGTTTGGCTCGGCCCTTTTACTCAGCTTCTCACGTCCTTGCTCAGATCTGCCACTTTGCCCAAGAAACCCTTTCTCGTGTCTGTACCCCATGTCTTCTGTTCTGGTTAAGAACTCACACTCTGGCATCTGAACACACTAGTCCTGATGGCAGGGGCAGGATTATCTTAATGATGGTGGTCAGAACTGCAGTGTGTTCTGTGAGAATGGCAGCCCTTGAGATTTTGCAGGTGTGACCTGTGATACCACACAGAGGCCCTGACTTTGGCTGTACTGCCAAGCTGTCTCCCTATACCTACGCCAAGATTGATTTGTCACTGTACACAGCAGACTGAGCCTCCCCGCAACATGACCTTTACATTTCAATCTAATTGCCTGTTTACTTGTGTGAACTGTTTTGGAGGCTTCAGTTCTTTGAGGACAGGGATTTTATATTCTGCATCCAGCGATGTTAATATATCAACAAGCTCAGGGCTTAGCACTTAGGAAGCACTCCGTAAGTACTGCATGTTCAGATGGATGGATAAGTGGATGGACGACAGATACGTGGGCATGTGGCTACATGATAGACAGGGATTCAGAAAGTTTTTTTTTAAATTAGTTTATTTATTTTAATTAAGTATACATGATGGCAGAATGCATTTTGATTCACTGTACCTTGCAGCACAACTTTTCATTTCTCTGGTTATACAGGATGTGGTGTCGCACTATACACGCAGTCTCATATGTGCCTAGGATCATGATGTCCACCTCATTCCACCACCTTTTCACCCCCATGCCCCTCTGCACCCCTCCCACCCTTAGTTAAGAAAGTTAAGAATTTAAATATAAATTTAAATTTGTAAGTTTAGATATTAAATGATGCAATATTTGAGCTTGGGAGAAAGTGGATGTTTCATGGTATAGCTTTGGTGGGGTTTGTGGAAGGTGAGGAACCTATTTCTAGAATCCCCTCATCACAGGGGAGCTGTGAGAATGGTGGACAAACTGCAAGTGAAAGTGCAGATTCATAACCTATCACTATAATAGCTTATACCCCCAAGGAGAAAAAARGTGGTAGTTTTGTAAGTATTCTTAGGAGGATTAAGATTAAATTTATGAACTTTGCTTCTCAACCACACAGCCCCCGGCTCAGTAGCATGCCCTGAGGGTGGGGATTCACACAGCTGCAGTGGGGCAGCGTGCAGCTGGGGAGGAGGGGAACTGGACAGTGTGGATTGTCTTGTTTCTGAAGCTGTCTGCCCAGGGGTGGCCCACGAAGTAGGCCACTGAGTAGGAACTCAGTGCTTTGGGTTTGTGCTAACAGGTCTTATGCCCTTTGAACAGGTCTCGTTTGGCTRTTTCCTTGGAGTGAAGCAAAACTCAGTGGTACAAAGAATGGCCTGAGATTGGGCAGGAAGCCTGTGCTGCCGGGAGAGACCGACTATGAACTGCCGGAAGCAGCCCCCACTCCTGGGGCCTCAGAGAGTAAAGGGACTGCTCGGTGGCCCTGGGAAGATGTCACGTGGGCCTTGCGGGACATGAGGAGCCTGATATTCTCCGAAATGTGGGACATATTCCTCGTGCGCTTGTTGATGGCGCTGGCTGTCATGCTGTACTATAGCAACTTTGTCTTGGCCCTGGAGGAGCGCTTTGGGGTGCGGCCCAAGACCACGGGCTACCTCATCAGTTACAGCAGCGCCCTGGGGACGCTGGCCGGCTTTGCCCTGGGGCCCATCCTGCGGCTGTACAAGCACAACTCCCATGCGGTGCTGCTGCACTCGAGTGCGCTCACCTGCACCCTGCTGCTGCTCTACTCCACCGCCCACACCATGGGCGTGGTGGTCCTCTCCTCCACGCTCCTGTCCTTCTCCACCAGCATCGGCAGGACCTGCATCACAGACCTCCAGCTGACCATGGGCGGGGCCCAGGCCAGCGGCACCCTCATTGGCATGGGGCAGTCGGTGACAGCCGTGGGCCGCATCATCGCCCCTCTCCTCTCGGGGGTGGCCCAGGAGGTCAGCCCTTGTGGTCCCCCCATTCTGGGGGCAGCTTTAGCCTTGGTGGCTATTTTCATAATGTCWCTAAACAAATCTCGTGCTGGAGGTGGTAGAAGTGGTAAATTAAAACGTGAATAGGGTGGATCTGGACCACACGAAGAAGCAGAGTGGCGTCTGAGAGTCAGGAACAAAGGCCATCAATAAGGGCTCTGCAGAGAGCGGGGCTGGTGTGAGCGAACCTCATTTCCTGGTGGGTGGCTCTGGTGTTGGGCTCCCAGGTGGGCCCCGCGCTGTGCGGCTGTGCCTGAGTCAAACAGAAGTCACAATGGAAGGCAGGAGAGTTAAGATTGGAGGGATCCTTTGCCTGGGGGCCAGATGCAGTGTTTACCTCTTCTCATCTGGGTCCACGAGGTTAAATTTCTCCTGAGCTAAAAACTACCAGCTCAAGAGAAGGAAATGATGGTAGAAGAACAGAACATGGTGAGTGATAAAGTGAGGAAGCCACAGTCTTCTCCTCACTGAGCAGTGCAGCGACAGCCAACAGTCACATGCAGACCACCTGGAAAATGGGCTTCCTGGTAAATTCCATAAGCTAAGGGGGAGCTTTGCTGCTGTCAAAGTCCTAGAGGTTGAAGAAGCTGCTTTATTAAAACCAGGCTTTCACTTCTCAGAGTTGATTAAAACCCAGATGCTGACCTTACCCCTGGACAGACTCTGTGGCTCGATGAGACTGAGAAATCTGCAGTCTTAAATGCCAYTGGTGATGTCTCGTGCCGTTAGATGAAGGATCACACTGAGACGTACTGTCTTTCATTAAAGTAAAAGCCTGAGACCCGGATGTTTTTATCAATGGCCAATTAAGTTTCGACTGTTAAAACTGTACTCACCATGTGTTACACTCTCCCACCTGACAGCAAATGTACTCTAGGATGCTCCCTGTCTTCATTGGGACTAAATCCCCCTGGGCTTCAGCCATGACAATCTGCTCCTAGAAGCCTGTGTCCCAGTCACATTATGTCATTCTGGTGCTGCTAGGCGGTGAAATCAAAGTACTTGAATGCATTTAAGATGAATGTCTCATGCAGAGTAAGGGCCAGGTGTCATGCCATATTGGAGTAACTTGACTCCATGGGGTTTGTATTAAAAATCATTTCCTGTATTTCAGTTCAGTTCTATTCCCAGGAAGAGCCCGTTGACCTACGGGGAAGTGTTCTGGTGTGTCTTTACCTGGGCCCTCTCTAAACTGCTATTAGTTAGCATCATTCAAGGGGTCAGGAAAGGGACCCTGAGCAAGAACTGAGCACACTTGCAGGAAAGGCATGCGGTGGGCAGGCCACCCAGTACAGTTACATTGGTTCCTAATAAAAATCACTGGGGGCGCCCCACTTTTCTTCATACTGCCAAAGTTCACATTCCTTTTAATCCTTTTAAATAGTCCATTAGGATATTATTCCTATTTTGAACCTAACACACATGTAATTATAAACAATATGTTAATATACTAATTTTTCATAACTTGAATATTTATTGTTTGTAAACTGGAAAAATATTTTCCATAGTTTCAGAAATTTTGAATGGTGTGACCCTAAATATTTATAACAATTGAAAATATGTTTTAGTTTGAAGATTGTCCTTTCTCTTACCTGGCTTCAAGAAAAATCACTTTTCATTAGGTGTTAAAATGGTAACACAAGAGCTAAGTGCTTTTGAGACCAAAATATATATGAAATGTCCTTGCCCTTAAGGAGCATACTAAATGTCATGTAGATTAGACTAATGGGACAATAAATAATAAGGGTTTATGTAATGAAGTGTAATTCACAAGGATTTCTCCAAAAGATTAGCTTTTCTTCATTCTCAGAAATGTTTCTTAAAAGCTCTTAAATACAGCCATTTATTTTTTAATTTTTTAAATTATAGCACTTTATTTTGAAGTTTAACAAAACCTAAAACTTAATGAGGCTTTATAACTAATCAGATACATGAAAATATTGAAAACCAAAGATTGATCTTACTCTACAGAATAGAGAAATGTTGTTATTCTCTGCTGGTGATTTGAGTTTTTGTTAAGCTCATTTTTTTCCCCCTAGAAAATATTTCCTCCCAGTTCCTCTTACATAGTCTAGCATCTTGTTGTTCAAAGTGTGGTCTGGAAATTGGCTGCCTCCTCATCTCTGGGAGTTTATTAGACATGGAGATGCTGAGGTCCCAGCACAGACCTCCCAGGGACCATTTTGACAAGATACCTAGCTGATTTGTTTGCACAGTAAAATTTGAAAACCACTGGTGTAATGAACACTTTTTATATTGTTTACGGAATATGAATCTCAGGGATATTAAATCTGTTCAACTAACATTCATGTTGTTTAAAATTTCTTGGGTAAYTTCCATAATCCTCTCTAAAATATCAGTTTGGGTCACAAGAAATTTTTTTTGTAAGTCAAAAATATTTTCCTGTGGTTCAACTTAATAATTTTCTATGGAATCATAGAGATATTAAACTTGCCTGGGTGTTTATGAAGGAAGCAGAGACCTTTCCAACATTATGCTGCGGAGGATGGCTTGGAGCTTGGAGTTCCAGTAGACATGGCCTAGTGAGAGACAGGAAGCCGGGTGCTATAATCCCAGCATCTTGAGAGGCTGAGGCAGGAGGATCGTGAGTTCAAAGCTAGCCTTAGCAACTTTGTGAGGCCCTAAGCAACTCAGCAAGACCCTGTCTCTAAATAAAATACACACACACACACACACACACACACACACACACACACACAAAGCCTGGGGATGTGGCTCAGGGGTTAAGCACACAGGGTTCAAGCTCTGGTTCAAGCTGTGGTTAGAAAAGAAAAAAAAAAAAAGGAGCAGGGTGTTCTTGCTGCCTTGGGTGGCCTAGACAAGAAAGTGTGCAAGAGTCATGCCTGGAGCCCAAAGAAGGGGTTGAAACCGCGGGTTCTCTGGCCTGGCTGCATGCCCTAGCCTGTGGGAACCAGATTCCTGGGCAGGAGGGCCCGCAGGGCCATTCCAGGTGGTGCTCCGAGCCGCCCAAGTGTCTGGTCTGGGCAGAGCTCTAGGCAAAGTTAAAGAGGCTGGTGGTTGAGTCTCCATTAACCTGCAGAGAACATGTGTGGGCATTTATAGGAACTTGTTCTCTGGAACACTGAAGATGTTTAAAAGACTGTCTGGCATCTTTTCCTGAGGACACTTTTATGAAAGATTTAGAAACTTACCAGGAGAGAGAGTCAGGCCAGGCTCAGGAATATTTCACGAATTTGGGCAGCTTCATTCAGAAAACAGCTGCTCATTTGGAAAACTCAGTAAAAACCTCATCAGGGCGATTCTTCACACCCAGTTCCTCCCAAGCTAACTTCAACATGCTTTTAAGAAGTTTTTGAAATGAGTGACTCCAAATCTATGATGATGTAACTCTTCTTAAAACAGGGTAATAAGTTGAAAAATCAGTTAGGCCCAATTCTCTTTTCCTGAAGAGCATGCCAGTTATATAATTTTGCCAATAAAATCCCTTTAAAATTGTAATTAAATACTATTATAATAAATTGTATTTTTAGAAGTCATTGTTGTATCCTGATTATATATTTATTTAAAATTCAGGGTCCCAAAGTGCTTGAAAAATCTAATCTCCAGTATGCTAAAACACAGCYTAACAGTAATAAGACTTGGGCTTTTACAACCCTATGGTAATATGAAATAATATATGTATTCTGAAATTTATACTGATGGCTGTTAAGTAGGGTAATTTGAGGTAGCATTTGTTTCTAATGAAGCAGATACATAGCGCCTATTTTTAAACATTTTTTATTTTGGATCTCTGCTTTTACCCAAATCTCTAAATTCACCACACATTTTATAGATAGCTTTCTATGAAAAAAAAATTAAAATAAAACTGGCTTTCTTTGTTGAATACATTGTAAGAAATGGTTCTTATTCTTTGAAAAGAAATACTTTGAAACAGTTCGTGTTTTTCCTTGAAGGGAGAAGATAATTACAGCTGTTATGGAGGAATGCTAATTAGTACTAATAACTTACAGGGCATAAAAGGGCACTGTAAGGATCTGGTTTGAACAAAGAATTATATTTTTGTCAATCTTGATTAACAGTATATTTATTACATCTTGAGGAATAAAATTCTTTTTTGCAAAGCATACTCTGGAGGGAAAATTTACAAGGATAGGATATACCCTTGCAATTTACAACAAGGATAGGATATACCCTTCCTTCAGGCTTATAAAAAAATCACTTCAGGCCTTGACATGCATCTCAAGACCCCAGAAGATGCCTAAAACCATGGTTAGTACTGAACACTATATGTCCTGTTTTTTTTTTTTTCCTAAACATATGTAAGTTTAATATTATTCCATCTAAACTAAGCACTTATCATGCTTGGTGTCCATGATGGAGCTACATCAGCAAAAGTAGCAGGCATTTCTTCTTCCTTCTTCACCATTTCACAGAAGATTTGTTCTTACTGTAGATCTTAGCAATCTGTTTATGACTTTTTTTGTTTTCCAAGTTGAATACTTTCACCCTTTTACCTCAAGGAGGCACTTTACAGGTTCCCTCTGGTGTCTAAGTTGCTAGCCTCACTACTCTTGGGCTTTGGCACCAGAAGTAAGTAAAATAAGAGTTACTTGAACACAAACACTGCAGTACTGTGGCAGTATATCTGATAATCAAGAAGGCAACTAAGTGACCCACAGTTGGGCAGCAGGTATGGTGTGGATTCACATCCCAGGTGGGATAAACTGAGGTAGTGCAGAATTTCATCACACTACTCAAAATGATATGCATTTAAAACTTATTGTTTATTTCTGGAATTTTCCATGTAATAACACTATTCGGAATGGTATATATCTGAAACTTAGGAGTTRTTTGTTTCTAAAATCCTCCCGGTAATATTTCTAGATCTAGGTTGGCCAAGAGTAACTGATGCTATACAAAGTAACACTTCAAAAGGAAAGAGTGCTGCTATATTCCATTTTGTGTAGTTCAATCTCAAACTCTTATCTAAACTGAGAATAACTTTTTGATGTGATAGATTGACTACCTAAACCTGTCTCAAGTTCATTTAATGAAATTGAAGGCACATGAAGTACCTTAGCCCAGTGTCATCAATGTGCTCTGTGGCCTGGTCCCTGTGGGTATGCATGCATGTCACTGGGTACATGTTTTCCTTCAGTAATTCGTTCCATTCGGCTGAGGCMCAGGCCTGGGCATCACAGACTGCATCTTCTGGCCATGTTGGTCTAAGATGTCAGAGACAAGTGTGTTTTCTCTGGGTCACCATCAAAGTGTCTTTACCATGCCATCTGTTTGGAATGAATAAAATTTTGACAGTATACCAAGTGGTAACTGCTGCTCAAAATAACATTGTAGCTAAAGGTAAGAACTTATAGATGTCCAACAGTAATGTAAGAGGCAATATAAATATAGCACATTTATTATTCAGATGCTCAAGTCTGTGTGTTACTGAAAATCTAACTTTGGTGGATACATACCTCTGCATAATATGAAAATCAATTTGTAGGACAATGATTGACATTAGATTTGTTTTTTGGGTTTTTTTTTTTTTTTAGGTTTAGGTTGTCTTGGGAAGGCAGTGTTCAATATCTCAGAGCATATGTTATCTTTAAATTACAAGGGTCTATTTACATGTTGAAAATTAATGGGTCTATTAAATCTGTACTCCTCTAATCAGATTGTTGTTAGCTTCTTGAGATATATGCATTTTTTTAAAAGAGAGAGAGTGAGAGAGAGAATTTTTTAATATTTATTTTTTAGTGTTCGGCAGACACAACATATCTGTTKGTATGTGGTGCTGAGGATCGAACCCAAGCCACACGCATGACAGGCGAGCGCGCTACCACTTGAGCCACATCCCCAGCCTGATATATGCATTTGGAACTAACAGAATTGAAGTTTTTTAATACTCTAAAATTCTTAACTTCCATGAGTTCCACCCATCATGACCCCATTTATTATGAATGAGAGTGATTTGACACATCAATATAAAAATTGGAATTGATGGGACTGCTCTAGTTTCTTATGATACATTATTTTCTCCATGAGGGATTAATTAAATGTTTACATGTAATTTTATATTTAAACTTAYGCAAAAATTTTCACAGAAACTGGGGAAGATTTCCTTTATCAGTGTACTTATACAAAAGTTTGGTTTGGCAAGCAGAGCTAAACTATAATTGGATGTAAAGAATCTCATTTAAATTAGAGATTTAGTTACCAGTCATATTTATGACTCAACAGGAGTCAATGAAGGAGAAAAATTTGAATATTTATTTTGTCCCTAAGTTAAAAAATTAAGAAAAGTCACCGCTCCTGTCTCTTTCGCTCCATCTGCCTGGTGTCTCCTGGAGCAGTGTTTCTAGCGTTCTGCAGTATGAGGATGCAGATTCCCAGGAAGCCTCTGTAACATCCTGCACAGACTTGAAGTAGGTTTTGAGCTGCTCAAAATGATCCACGTGCTATGCAGATTTAAAATGTGATTATCCACTTTCTGGGTAGTTAACTCTAGACCCAGAAGAAAAGTAAGAGAACTGAACCAAAATATATCAACTATGCTTAGAGGTAGGTAGAAAAATTTTTAATTGAAAAATGGCAGACAATTAGAAGAAAAAAAAAGATTTTTAAAAAGATACACCTGTGTAAAATTACAGAAACACACACACACACACACACACACACACACACAAACACAAACCCCCCCAAAACAAAAACGAGGTTATGTTCCTTGAGCTGGTTTGAGGGCATCAGCTAGATGTAAAGTGGATGACATCAGGAATTTTGAAAGAAAGTGTCCTTTACCAGGAACAAAGAGTCATGGTGACTGCCACACAGCCAAATGGAATTCCTGCTTTCTTTGGAAAGAAATGGAAAAAAGGGCTTGGTTGAAAAGTGGGATAGAAAGTAGCAATGAGCTATCCACACACTTTGTTCTAAAAATGAAGAAAACATAAAATGAAAATGGGGCTCATCAGCCTGGTTCTGGGTCCTAAGCTTTCAGGGAGAAAAGCAAAGCCTGCCCACTTCATGTCTGCCTGCGTGTGCCACATCCCACAGATTCAACCAACTCTGGGTAGAAAATATTTAAAAAAAAAAATCTGTATTGAACCAGTAGATTTTGTCACTATACCTTAAAAACAATACAGTATAACAACAATTGGTGCAGTATTTACATTGTATGAGGTCTGTAAGTAAGCTGGAGATGGCTTAAAGCATACAGGAGAATGCGTGCAGGTTTGTATGCAAACACTCTGCCATTAATTATAAGGTACTTGAACATCGGCAGATTTTGGAATCCTCAGGGTGTCCTGGAACCCACAATTGAAGAGTGTTCTAGCCCCAGCCTGATAATGCGAGCAGCTACTTCATTTGGACAAAATCATCTTTTCAATCACTCTTTAAAGAATAAATTCCAATGCACTCTCAGAATTACCCAAAATATTAGTTCTCGTCATTGATTATGAAAGCCAGTTTTAACATCAACWTGATTCATGGGCAGGCAGTACAAAATCTGCTCAGTAACTGTGTTTCTCTATCCTCTTTGTGTGCACAAACACCCAACGTCTTGGTAAGATGGCAACCCCTCCCTATTAGCAAAAGTTGAAATTTCATCCATCCACAGACACAAGACACATACTTTACAGATTTTGGTGCTGATTCTAGCTTGGTGGCTGGCATAACTATTCTCAACAGTCACCCCTTAGCTTTATATAGAGAGCATTAAGCCCTGACTTTTCACTATCTATAGATGGTTCAAAAATTTTGTTACAACACACAGAGAAAACCTACCCGAATGCTACAGACATGTTGGAACTTTGGATTAGGCATTGTTTGAACTAAGGGAGTCATTTACAAAGGACTGGGGCTCTTTCTACACTCTAGAAGTTAAGTGGTGTGGTATTTACAAGGGCTCATGTCCATATTATCTCCTTTCAGAGGCTAAAATTCAAAAACTACCCACCCTAAAAATAAAAAGTTAGAGAAAAAGCTGAAGTCAAATTTATTTTTATTGCCTTTCCCATTCAATGAATAAAAATAATTAAACAGATAATAATTAAGATAAAATTACTCCAGTACTCTTTTCCAGAAATCTCTACAATATCGTTCAAAACTCTTTATTTGACTTTTACTTTTTTCATGTTTTCTCCTTCATTCCAGAAAATTAAACTCAAGTATAATGTTCATGAACATAGAAACCAGGACATTTATTTTTAAAGGTCAATTTTAAATTTCTACCTTCTTTTGCAGATTTCAAAAATTAAGTATTCTGAAAATTCACCCTTGGCATTCTCAAAAATACACATCACATCTCTTGATGAATTACCTTTCTATAATAAAAATTCTGCATCCTTTCAAATTTCTTTTCAGTAGAAGGAATGTATATTTGATATTAATATTTTCATTTAAAATTCAGATTTTTGGCACAGAGTCCTAGGCTTGWGGCTTTCCGATTGCCTTGTCCGTTGCTTTCCACTGACCAGCCTAGGTTAGCTGGGAAAGACTTGTGCTCTTACAAACTTGACCCTTCTGTACCCTCCTCCCTGTCTCATGTAAGCCACCTGCAGTATTCCCAGATTTTAGAACATAAGAAACAAGGAAAGAAGTTTTCTCCATGTTGATAGGGGGCTGCAGAAGGGCTGCTGAGGACTGTCTCTTTCTGTTTAATTTAGTCATGTTCCTCCCCCTGTCATACTTTGGCCACTTGTACCCTTTGCTGGGTGTGGAAAGTTTCTAATATGAAACCAAGAAAGTATATGAATGGCTTCATTTAATATCTAAGCCCAGAAATGTAGAGTCTTGTCGCAGGTAAATTTTAAAGAGGGATTATTCAGGGGAAAAAAAAGTGACAATTCAATAAAATCTGCAGTTTTAAGAGACAGAGATTTAAATATTCCTTAATGATTACATTCCACTTCCTTCTGCCCTACTTCTAAAAAGTACTCCAACGAGTAGAATCCAATTGTATATGAAGAATTTGAGTCATTGCATTACTGAAAGTGAAGAGGTAAATTATAGATTAGTGCAAAAAAGGAAAAAAAATAGGATTCTCCAAAGTGCTTCCTGAACAAAAGTCAAAGCCTGGAATCTTACCATTCTATTAGAATACTGTTTTTAATAACATTCATCTTTGTCTCCTTGACCTGGGCTCCAAATTCTAGAATGTTCTATAGAAAAATTCTATTAAAGCAGGTGGCCATAGATGGATGTGAAAGGAATCACCTTCATCCTCCTCCCAGTATGGCACAATGTAAAACTCACCACCTAATGATAAGCAGGTGCTACCCTGTCTCCTTACCATTGGCCACAGGGTGGGGCTTCTAAACAGCTGCCACCAAATCCATCCAATACCACAGGCTGATTTTGTCCCTGGCAGGATTTCTCTTTGCACCATCAAAAATATCAAAAAAGAAGGGGAGATGGAACTTATATGCCACCCCCAAACACATGGTACACAGATGAACAATTAAGAACAGTAACTCTGATTGTTTCACAAGAGTGTGGGGTGTCTAGACCACATGCTGGGAGCCAGGTCACTCCCACCTGATTGTGTTCCCAATTCATTAGTCATGAGATGCCTCGGTTTGGGGCTTTGCTCCTCCTTTARGAACAGGTCCAACAGCTTCGCTCTCAGCACAGGGAGAGGCCTCTACCTGAGCTTAGGATTCACCCTTTAGAAACTGACCACTAACCCTCAGAAAGATGCTCTAGGAACTTTTAGTGCCATTCACTTAAAAACTGACCCACTACGGACATATATATATATWTTTTTTTTCATAAATAAAATTTGAGGCATACATGTAATATATTAAAATTTCCACCAACAAGGGTGTGTTAAAATTTTCAAGTTCTGTTGTTCAAGTTCGATTTTTAAAGGCACACTTTTTTTCCCCCCCTCTTCGGTCTTGCATCGAGTACAATTTGCAAGCCGCAAGTCACAGAAGAGATCTTTGTGGGACTCAACTTTCTTTGATGTCCCCCTTCTTGGGATAAACATTCTTCCCATCAATCACTCCTGACTCTACCATCCAGAGACAGCTTTCAGATGGAGGATTTTAAAGGGATTCCGCCCGGGCCATTTCCCTTAGGGCTTTTCACTCCCGAATCGGGCTTTCTGGTTTCCAGGTTCGGAGGCCCTGCGCACCAGCCTCGGAGGAGGCCTGGGRGGCACGTCTTCAGTCAAACTGTCTTCCCTGCCGCGGCCGAAGCCGTCCTTGGAGAGGAGCGGCTGGCGCAGTACGCCTGGCGTCTGGGTGCCCCCCTCTTTGCTGCGGGGTGCTGGGGACGGGCCGGGCTGCCCTCGGCCAGAATCTCCGTCCACCTCGTTCTTCCATTCCATCTTATAGGCCTGGGAGGCTTTCTTGGAGAACTGTTCCGGCAAGAAGCGCCTGGATCGGGGCTGCAAATTCAGCGCGGTGGTCCCGGAGTCGACGTCTGAGTCGCTGCTGTTGCCATCTAGCACAGAGCAAAAGGGCAGCGTGAGCCAGCATTTCAGGGGGGTGGGGGGTGTCACAAGTGACCTCAGTACCTCAGTGGGTCGGGCATCTAATGCTCCCTGGGCCCCTGGGAGAAGGGGGGAAGTCAGAAAGCTCCTTTGACTTCAGCTTAAGGTCCTATCTGTGTCACCTGAGAGCCTTCCTGTCCACTAGGCTCATTTTGCCAGGCATGGCATCATAAGCATTTTAATATGCACCACTCTTTTAATCCTCCTGCKCACCCAGTTTACAAATGGAGTAACRGGGTTAACAGAAAGCACTGGAGCTGGAATTCCAGCTAAGGTCCTCTGCCAGTGGTGATGGTGTGCTCCCAGGCACCCTAGGAATGGCCCCTCTGGGCTCAATCCCCCCCGCCTGGCAGTTAGCAGTCTGATCGCCATCTGCTGGTATGAAGATCTTTCCCTCGTTCTAGGATCTCAGGCCCAGTTTTGCTGGTTTCCTTTCCATTTCCATGAAGGACCCAATCATTGATATGCACTTTCTAAACTAATCCCAGGAGGCAGGATTAGGAGGAGATTCCTGTGCTAGAGTTTGGTGGGTAGGATAGTTGAGAGGATGAGCTGCTGGCTCTCAGCTGATTCTTAGGATCCTAGGACATCTTTGCAGGACACAGGGGTACCATAGCCTATGGACACATACAGTCCTGCGGCCTTGTCTTCCCCTACCCTCCCTTCTCATTTCTCACCTCGCCCTCCATTATCACCAGCAATCCTTAGATTTTCCTCTTCTTGGTTAATTAAACAAACAAGCAGGAAAAAAAAAAAAAAGCAAAGGGTTTTTAATTATTGTTACATCCCACACTTGAATAACACGGAATCCTAATCTACTTTTGGGATTCAAAGACAATAGCTTGGGGGTCTACATAAAGATTACCATCAAATAAAGAGATATCAGACCTTGTGAGAAAGCTTTAACAACTGCAGTCAGAAGTAAAATATGCGGTTGCCTCTATGAAAATATATTAGAATTATTGTAAAACTAAACACACATTTTCAGACCTGCAGCTTTCTATTGACCTGCTCAATAACTCCATAGTGACAATATTTGATTTTACTATATCAAGGAATCATTATGGAAGATAAGTAATTGAAATATTTATAACTGATGCAAATCAAAAAGGCTAATAAAAGGTCACTGTTATTATTTTATACTTTAAAATGATGGAACTCATCTTTAACGAAGAAAAACAGCAGGAAAATTTCTCTATTTTATAAGCATTAGTAAATGAATCTAAAGTATTTCTGCTCTGGTTATATTCATTACCTGCATTAGAAATATTCTTTTTCTTTTGTAGCTTTTCTGGAAGCTTTGTATTTTTGGGTAAGGATAAATATCTGGATGTTGAAGTGGAAGCCTGTAAGAAAAATAGAAAACTTTATTTGGATTACATACATGGTATTTATTGTAATACTAGAAGTCGAAACTTTTATCGCAAAACTTGGTTTTAAAATAAAATCTGAATTCTTCATTCCAAAGTTACTTTTGAGGAGCTCTAAGTATTGTACTTTTAAGTAACCAGCTTCCTTCCCAAACCATGCAAATAAAATAGAACTAATGGGACCATTTCTCATAGGATGAGAAAACCACTTATTCTTCTTAAAGAAAATCTACAGGAACACTTATTTATGAGGTATTACCAGAAAGACTTAAAACCTATCCGTATGGGGAAGAAGRTATATAAAATGTGTGGCATTATTTAAGTTTTATTTACTTTAACAAATCTTGAAAATGATAGAACAAAAAATGTTCCAAAATCTCATTTATTGAACTTCTGAATGCTACATCTTCAGATTTGCTACAGGTTGTGTCATTAACCTTTAATTGACATTACATTTTATGTGGGAAAAAAAGATAAATCTCCTTATTCACACATAATCATTTTAATCTCTGGTGACCCAATATTGAATATTTATTATTAAAAATAAGATGTAATGCCTGTCATGTTAATAAATGATCAGAACATTTTAAAATGGCTTTCATATCTATTGGCAATGACCCGAACCAGCTGGACTGCTGCACACTGCGCTGTGACCGCTCATGTCCCCAGCCTCTCCAGGCTTCCTGAAGTTCCCCAGTAAACACATGGGCTTGCCCAGCTTCTGCCCCTTGCTTCTAGGCCACCTCCCCCCAGAAAGCTCAAATACAGTCATGTTCCACATAATAACATTTTGGTCAAGTGTCAATCCCATCGGTGACACTGATCCTTAAGATTATATTGCCTAGTGACATTTTAGCCACCTTAGTTTGTGTAAGTACACTCTATGATGTTCTTCTACCAAAACTGCCGAACTACCAATGTCTCAGAAAAAAATGCCCTTTGTTGTTATATGGCTTCAAATCATACCATTTTCCAGTCACAGAAGCCTGGCTTAGCCATTCTGATTAAGACTGAAAACTGACTGTCCAATCCCTGTATCATCTTATCTCTATGTATCTATCTGTCATCACCTTTGAGCATAACAAATAATCTACTTTGATTCTATTCCTGGTATTCTCCTCTAGGATACTAGAAATCTTACAAGAGTAAGAGTCTTTGTAAATTTTGTTCACTAATATATTCCCTGTGCCTATGCCTATAACAGTGTCTTCATGTAACAGGTGTTCAAGAAACATTGGAAGAGACTTTATGATTGTCATTTTCTCTTTCTTTCTTTTCTCTCTCTGTCTCTCTCTGTCTCTCTCTGTCTCTCTGTCTCTCTCTCTCTCTCTCTCTCTCTCTCTTGAAAGGTCTCAATATGTTGCTCAGACTGGCCTTGAATCCCTGTGGATTCAAGCCATCCTTCTGAGTAGCTGGGACCGCAGGTGCATGGCACTGAACATGGAGAAATATTTTTATAATTAATTTTGCCCCTGAATTCCTGGGAGTCAATCCTCAGCAGTCATCCAATCAAAAGAGTCAAGGACTCTATGGGCTGATTGGCTCCACCCCTGGAAGCCTTCTGCACACAGAGACACCATATCAATTACCCTGCGCTCTCGATTCAAGCTGTTGTCTTTCCTGATGCTTTCTCGCAAACTGTGCCTGCGGCGGATCAGAATCTCTTTGGCTTGTCTCTCGCTGGTGTCTGCTGTCAAATTGTGTCTGTTGTACGACAAAGTCTGAAATGAAAACACACAAGTGACACTTTACCAAAAGACGGATGATTTCCCTCAGAAAATTTCAAAACGTTACCACACTGGTGGGGATTTTACACCTCGGTAACAACTTCCATGCAGACTGAACAAAACAAGATTAAAGTCCTGGAAGAATTCAGTCTTTCATAAAAGTCAGTGAAGAAAGTTTTTCATTGCAAAGTGTGATCTTTCAAAATTAGAAAAATGACTGAATTTGCCAAGAGCCCCTGTCTGTCTTCAATTGCCTTGCATTAGCTCAGCCATCCCCAAAGCTAGGGGGGAGAAAGATCATTTTCACACATTCTCTATTGGACAGGAATTCCTCCTATAAAAACAAACTACTTTGAGCCACTTGGTGGTGCCATGTCCTTTCTATTAACTTCACAACTGACCCTTTATTCAACTAGGTTGTCACACTGAGAAGTTGTTAACACCACCAGGAATTCTCATGTTCCAGTTTGTGGAAGAGTGAAATTTCTAAACTAGGGATGTCCAAGTCATCTGTTTTTTCGTTTCATAGGCTACACAGAAATATGTTTCCTGAAACAAATCATAATTATTAAGGAAGTTCATTTTCTGGTAGAATTGACATGTACTTCATGAGAACATCCCTGTGTCCAGAAYAGGGACAGGCCCCGTGGAGACACGCAAAGGTGACATGGAGTAAGACTAGTCTTGTCTGCTGCCTTGAGGTGCTTGCAAACTAGTTGGGCATCTAAGTGTAGCAAAAAAAGAAAAAAATATATAAAATTAAGTGCCCAAATCACTGACACCTAGTTCTACCTCATTGGAGGGCAGGACTGGAAATAATATGGTGTTTTTTCGGGGGGGGGGACTTAATTTGATTCGAGGCTCTGAATCAGGTGACAGGAAACAGGACAGGTCCACATGGGAAGATCAAGAGTGTGGGAACCACACAGGCCAAGAGGAGGACTGAACCTGTCACTCCACACCCTCTGGGGTGCCTGGTAGAGCTTAAAAATAGAGACCCTACGTTCTGAAAAAATATTGTACCCAAGAAGCCACGACTATTGTTTTGTGTCACTTTCAACAGGATAATGCTGCCGTAAAAGAGGGTTTCAAGGATGCACCTAGAACGAAGGCAGCCTTCAAGGAGGCCCTGACTAAGGAGCTGCAGGCATGGCCCCCAGAGGGATGAGGAAGACCCTTGGCAAGCCTGTGTGGCCCAGGTTCAACTCGCTGTGCCTTGGTTYATTTTTTCATTTGTGAAGTAGAGATGTTAGCAACACCTATCGCTTATCATGGGAATAAAGGGATTGACCAAAGCAAGGTGCTGAAGTGGGACTTGGCAAATTGTACCCGCTCTCTAAACATCAGCAAYATCATCAGCCCTCGGGTGGAACTGGGTGTCAGCAATGGAAACTCAGTGAGAGAAGCAACTTGAGAGATACAACAAAGGACGGGAACAAGAGCACTTCATGGGTAACAAGGAGGACCCAATACATTTAGAAATCCAAGGGATAAGGCTGTTTCCTTTAAAAACAAATCTATCAACTCATTGCTCCACCACTGTTCAGTGGGTATTTCTTATCTCCAAGACCCCAGTAGCAGAAGGCCTGAAAGCTTTAACTACGTGTCCAAGAGGATGGTGGGACCCGGACCAGATGGGGGTGCAGTGAACAGGGATCTGAGATAAGAGGAGATACCCAGCGTGGGACCCATTGAGGCAGACGTAAGAAATTAAGGGACATTTTTAGTCAAAGACAAGTAAATAAATAAATAAATGATCTCACTCTCTGACGGATTTGATACAGATTCCTGGATAATATTTCTCGAATTTCATCCATTTCACCAGGCGTGAGCTTCCTTATTTTTTCTTCACGGAAATCACTGTGAACATTTGGAAAAAGAATATTCCATCTTTCAACAGATATCAGCATCACCCATTTTCTTCCTTAGAGATATAACACCATACTTCAAAAGAAGGATCTTGAAGAATAACACTTGGGAATATTCAACTTTGAAAATAATCTAAAATTCTAAAAGTTTTTAGTGCCCAGAACATTCATGACAAGTTCAAATGTGTGCAAGTTTTCAGTCTATTCATGCAATTATATTTTAAGAAAGAAAATCTATAATGGTTTGTAATGCTGTCATTTTATGATTTCTATCACTCTATAAAGTAATATAGAATTGGTTTTTCCAACAGAAATCTAATAAACTGTATTTTTCTAAGGCTTCATATTTTAAATAGCTCACTATAAATATTTGTGAACATGCTATTTATAGTATATATGTAAATACAATCAATTCTCATTATTTGAGGATTCCATATTTGTGAATTCTCCTAACTCACTAAAGTTTACCTGTAAACTTAATACCAATATTTTGTAGAGTGGCAGAATTTGAGACCCTCCACACATTTTCAGATGATGTTGAACAAGGTAACATTCTGTTTCTTTACTTCTTCTTCTTGTATTGTAAATAATGCTCCCATTACAGTCTGTTTGGCTACGTTTTGCCACTAAGTAACACTTGTATGCTGCTTAATGGTGATTTCACTAATTAAACTGCCCCCCCCCAGTGTCATATGAAGTGTTACCTAGTGTTCCTAAACATGAAAAGGCAGTGATTACCTTCGGAAAAAATCTTTAAATGAGATTTATTTACATCTGAATTTTACTGCGGTTTCCAAGAGTTAAGTATTAATGAATTAACAATAGATATTAAACAAGGTATCTTTATACGTAAAGGCACACAAAACAAAGTTTTGTATTAATTTTCTGATAACAGTTGTGACTTTTTCTGGTGATGGGTAAAGGACTCTGGAAGTAACACCCTTGAGTGGGACAAGAACTCCTCCTCCTTGTTAGGTCCTGAATTCCAATCTTACTTTCTAAGGCCAACTACTCTTGCAAACCTGTATTTACCTCTGAGACTTTCAGACACCTTCCCTATAATTAAAAGATAACCTCAGAATGAAAATGCCCCCAAATGCCAGTTCCATCTTTTTGGATTTCTCTTGGTCTCTTGACTGAGAGATTGCTCACCACAGTGGTACTCTCCAGCTTCCAAGCAAATTTTAAAAATACATCTTGTCCTTTTTTTTCTAGTTGCTCTTAGATGATTATTTGATCCATCAATACACCATCCATGATTGCCAAAAATGCAATTTCTTTTTACCTCCCTGATTGAGTCTATTTTCCTTTAGAGAAAATATTTTGGGAGAAGTAGAAGGGTCAGTATGGCACCCATTTATCTGTCCCATTATGCAGCAGGCCATACATTTTTCTACCTATTCTCTAATTTTAATCCTCACCATTACCCTACTGATTACCAATTTCAAAATGAACTATTCTCAGAAAGGAAAACTGAGATGCCCCTCATCTGAGATCACAAAAATCATGGCTCTTTTAAAAAGCTGTTTTACTGAGTTCCTTGCTGTAACTGTAAATGGAATAGTGTTTAAGAAAGATCATAAAAGCCAGGCACAGTGGAGCATTGCTGTAATCCCAGCAGCTCCAGAGGCCGAGGCAGGAGGATAACAAGTTCAACGCCAGTCTCAGCAACCTAGCAAGATGCTAAGCAATTCAATGAGACCCTGTCTCTAAATAAAATACAAAAAAAATAGCTGGGGATATGCCTCAGTGGTTAAGTGCCCCTGAGTTCAATCCTCAGTACAAAATAAATTAATAAATAAAAATACCTAAACATGTAAAGCTAGAAGGGTCCTTAAAGATCCAATCTAAACCCAATTCTATTTTTTTTTTTTTGAAGAATCTCAAGCTCAAGAGACCAGCTCAAGGTCACAAAGCAAAATACTCGCAGAGCTGAAGCTCTAAGTTAGGCATTCTACTGTTTGGCACCGGGCTGTTTCGGATGAAATGTAATGCCATACTTCTGAGACCTCATGTTCACTACTTTTTATTCTGAACCATGTAAACTCCCATAATTTATTTTTTGCTTTTTTGCATTCATGGGGGTTAAATATACTACTGTACAACACCCCCAGCCCTTTCTATTTTGATTTCAATACAGGTCTTGCTAATTTGTTGAAGCTGGCCTTAAACTTGTGATCCTCCTGTCTCAGCCTCCCAAGTTGCTGGGATTACAGGAGTGCATCATTGTGCCAGGTGTAAGCTCCCATAATTTTTAAAGGAGGCTTAGAGACCTGGTAAAAATCATAATTTCTGTGGTTGGATATTATGTGGTCTTCTTCCTCTTTCACTTCAACTTCCTCATAGTTAGCTCTTAATTACATGAAATTTAGTTCAAATGAGTTTCAAGCTCATCTACATCAGAAGAAATCAGTGGGAACCTATAATTTCTATCACCTTTGTGATAGAAAAGGAATGATGTTGATAGGATGAAATAACCTCATTTGCCAAGTGTGACTGTATTCATGGTTCTGCTGGTGATGATTGAAAGGAAAGTCTCTTCTCCATGCTGGGTCTGAATTTCCTTGTTTTTAAAATTAGGGAGACAAACTAGATTAGTGGATCTCAACCCCACCTGAATATTAGAAACATCTGGAGAACTTTTAAATATACCTAGACCTGAGCTCAGCACCAGAGATTCTGATATAATTGGTTGGGAGTGGGGCCCAGCCATCTTTATTATTTAAAGACTCCCAAGGTGTCTCCAATGTGTTCTGAACCTCTGCACCAAATGTCCACTATTATTCTTCCCAAACTTTCAACTATGATTGAATAATCTATAATGAAATAGCTATGTTAGTACACGCATATTTATAGTAGTAAATATAGCACAGATTAAAATAATTTCACTTTACAATTTGGGCTAAGGGGACTTTAATTTCCCAAAGCAAATGTAATAAAGGCATAAACATCCTGAACATGACAGCATTTCCTGGCTCATCAACTCTAAAGTAGGATAGCATAAAATATAGCCTAATGTAACTTAAAACATGACACATTTCTAGCTTTTACATTTTAATCAGAGTCTCCTAGGAGATCTTACAGCATCCCAAAGGAATGCAGGCCAGTTTTTAAAAAATAATGATTGGTTTCAAAAAACTATCAAAGCATATTCAGTACTGGTAACCGTTATTCACAAAAACCATACTTACTTTAGAGATGCAAAAGAGGGGACAGTACTTATCATTCCAGTCTCAGCCATCTCAATAGCATGTTTTATTTCCAGCTTTTTATATAAGGACACAATGCTTGACTTGGGTTGGTTTTCCCGAATCAAAAGCTTCCGAAGGTATTTGTCATCAAATTTCTTAAACCTGTAGATAAAGAAAGTCAAATTTTCAATTAGTGAAAACTGCACTGACTGACAAAACAAACAAATGAAAAAACTCCCAGGTAAAAATTATCAGCTGCATTTAGCTAATCTGATCTTAATGTCTATTTTTATATATGTATGCTGGTATATATGTGTGCATAAACCGCATGTACTATACTTATGTGTATGTATGCACACAAATATCTACATCATACCTAAACTTGTACATGGATAGTTTTGTATATGACCAGAACATACAGACATATACCTACTATTCACTAAAGATTAAATATATGTATATGTATATCTCTATATATTTATCCCTTTAACATTTTCCTACTTCCTCTTTCAGCAGATGTGTTATCCAGACTTGCTATTGCCACTTCCTCTGCTGTGATCATGGAGTAGTCACAAGCCAGGCTTTTTGCCTCCAACACTCCATGGAAGCTGCTGTCACAGAAGTCATCAGTGAACCCCACAGTGAAATCCAGTGGCCAGCTGGCAGTCTCAGTCCTGGCCTCACCTGCTCAACACATGGTTTCCATCTGGCTCCCAGTATACTACACCCCAGGTGCCTCCTACCTCCTTCTTGGCTTCTCCTCTTGGTTCCTTGCCTTCTTTCTGACCTCTCAAGGTAGGAATGTCCCCTAGAGTCCATCCTTGGTCTACTTCCCCTGGGCATCTTGCCCAGTTTCATGCCTTTTCACAAAAACATCTCTATATTCAAGACTCCATAATTCATCTCTCCAGCTCCAACCTCTTTCCCTAAACCCAGACATGAACATTCCCCTGTTTACCAGTTAAGTAAGTGTTCAATTATAAAAAGATGGATAGGAAGGCTCTGTAGAGAAAATCACCATTGAGGAGAGACTTGGAGGAGGTGTATGAATGAGTTCTTCAGGTATCTGGGGACAGATATCACTGGTTAAGGGTCTAACAGGCACCTCATACTTGACATGTTGAAACTGAACCCATCTCCCACARTCCTCCCAATCTTGGATAAGAGTGACTCCACGGGGTCCAGAACTGGTGTCATCTTTAATTCTTCTATGATATTCCATAGTATGGGCTTCATTGTGCCCAACCAAAAAMTCATATGTTGAATTCCTAACTCCTAGTTTATCTGAATGTGATTGAATCTGGGGATAGGGTCTTTCCAAACAATTAAGTTAAGATGAAGTTACTAGGGTGGGCTCTAATCCAATATGACAGGTGTCCTTATAAGAAGAGGACATTTGSACATAGTTGCATGCAGAGGRAAGACAAGGTGAAGAGTCAGGGAGAACAACTTCGTCTGCAAGTCAAGGAGATTCCTGGAGCAACCCTGTCCTCACAAGGAACCACCCCAGAACAGTAAGAAAACTCATTTCTGTTKTTGGAGCCACTTAACTATGTAGCAGGTGCAGGGCAATATTATTCCACATCCACTCTAGCAATAATTTCTGTTGATCTGCATCAAAATACTTAGAGAATCCAACAACCTCTCACCACTTCTAACGCCAGTACCACGGTCCAAGTCCTCTTTCACTGAACGCTCACACTGAATTKACCTAATCGGTGTGATCGCCTCCTGGTCCTAGGGCCTATTCTCCACACAGAAGACCGAGTGCTCCTGTTAGAATGTCAGTCAAACAGTATGACTTCTCACTTGAATGAAAGCACCRTGGCCTAGGAGGCCTTCCAAAATCTGGGTGTGCACCTCTGAGCACTGTGTGCCTCTTCCTAGGCAGCAACTTCACTAGGGTCCTTTCTGTCTTAGATTCTTCCCACTGGCACTCTGGGCCCTTATACTTATTATGCCTTCTATTAGGGATGTCTGTCCCCAGRTACCTGAAGAACTCATTCTTACACCTCCTCCAAGTCTCTCCTCAATGGTAATTTTCTCTATAGAGCCTTCCTATCCATCTTTTTATAAYTGAACACCCCTTCTCCACCCTCTGTGTTTTCTATTTCACTTCCCAGGTGTGTCTTTCTACATAGCGTTTATCACTTTCTAACAAGATAAGTAATTTCTTTATCTTATTTTCTATCTCTTGGCACTAGAAWATAAGATCTATATACACGGGGACTTTTGTCTTCTCCTGTATCACCTGTTCTTAGAATAGCRTCTGGCACACTATTGATGAGGTATATTAGGTCCTTTGGTCCCAGTGTTTCCTTGTGTTCACATTCTCTGCCATCTTACCTGAAATGTCATCCTGCCATGGCTAGGTGACATGCCCTGCCTGCTTCCAGGTACTGGACTCAATAATATCATTCCTTTTGATGAATGGGCTATTAGCACATGAGGAAGGAAGAGGAGGGAAGAGGAGCCTTCAGAGGGGGCTTACACACTGAAGCCTGCATCCTGTGCTTCCACAGGCCTCACGGGAACATGTGTGCAGAGTGGCACAAAGGTGYGATCACATGAGTGAGCCAGAGTCAACCCACCCCTGTCACATCAGGCAAGGGTAGCCAGGATCAGCTGACCATCAGCCAAACCCCTGCAGCATGAGCAAGACCAGCCCAGATCAGCACAGCCCAAACCCAGACCAGCTGACTCACAGTCTTGTGACTCATGCACTGTAACAATAAATGAAGGCTGTTTTGAGTAGTTGTATTTTGGCATGGTTTGTTGAGCAACATTATTAGGCCAGCATGTAAGTAAAGCAGCGTGCAATAAATGTTCGTTGAGAAAGAGATACATGTGTTACGGTGACCACCATAAACCCGAGGAGGTTTATAGGCACACCTGTGCCATGAAAGGAACAAATGTTAACCCACGTTCTTGGCACTGGTCCTTTCTTCTAAATACTGGAGGGCTCTCAATAGGGAAAGGGGAGCCATCCTGAATGGGCTTTGGTACTGACTGGCCACCACACTAAAGAGAGCGCCTACTGTTTCCCAGTTYATTTTGAATTTCATGTTAGGCCCATGGAGCCAGGATTCCTGACAGCAGCACCGCATCTTGAACTTCTTTTATTGTTATTATTGTTTTAGCTTTTTCGCTGGAGATAAGCAAAAGGAAGGACAAACATTGAGGACAATGGCATTTGACCTATGCTGTGCAGAGATTGTGTATTTTCTCTCTCTCTTCATTTCTGCTTCTTTCATTTATCTGCCAAGTTATACATAGGTGCTCTCTTTCACCATCATGAGAGCCCTTTTGCTAAGTCTTAGTAATGTGTCCACTGGGTAACCCTTTCATTTCATTCCCAAAGGATCAAAGACCTCATGAACTCTCTGCCAGGACCACTAGAAATCTAAAGCATAAGGTCTTTAAGAAAGAAACCCAACATGCCTGGAACAATCACTTATTTGTGTATGTCCTTTTTAGTCAAATAAATAATTATATATTTTTGAGAGATGAACTCTGAGCACAGTATTAAAAATAACCTGTTTTAGCACCCCCTCTCCCGCACCTACCTACTTCTTTGTTCTGCCTGAGACACACAGGTATATACGACAATCCAGAAAATCATTTGAAATTTACCCGGGAATAATTGTGCAAGGAAATCTATAAATGCTTACAAAATTATTAAATGAAGTCTATTCACTGCTGAGAAAAGTGTTAGAGAAGGAGAAACGTTACTTTCCAGACAGGAGCCAGTTGGCTCGGCTGTCCTTGGCACTCACGGTCCATAGCCTGGCTGCCTGGGGAGGTCTGCCTGGGATGACCTTGTGGACCCAGAGACAGTGTCTCTGCCCAAAAACAGGACAGAGGGACTTCCTCTGGCATTCCTTTGCCTGAGTTCCAGCCCAAGCCCTGACCATCACAGTGTCCATCTTTCCAGTGCCCTGCGGGCTGCTGACCTGAATCGGATGCCTACTCATGTCTATTCCTTCCCCATCTGGTAGGCAGGAGTGGTGGGAATGGAGAGCCCAGTCTTCACTTTGGGTGAGATCCTAACTGTTCTGGGTGACACCTCTCACTCACCTCCTCGGGAGGTTACTGATCGGATTCTAGAGAAAGGGACAAGAATGGTGGGGTAGAAAGGGAGACACTAGGTGGAAAAGAGGCAAGAACAATAGAGGAAGGAGGGAGGAAAGTCAGGTTCTCTGGCTGGGCCCAAGCAAGGACCCATGTACGTGAGGATGGTCCCCCAGATGAGAAGCAGGCTTGGGTAGAGAGACGTGGGGCAGATGGGGCAAGTTTTCTGGTTCACCTCTGGCCTCTGAAGTCATGAATGTTTCCCAGGAGAAATGGCTTTTTTCCTGCCTATTTTTACAATGTAGATGGTAGTTTGCTTTATTTTATTACCCTGTGCTCCCATGTGCCCTCACACATAAATTATCTTTAATTTATGAACTAAGGCAAAGCCCAGGGGACTTTTCTACATTAGTAAACAGAACTGAAAACCTTGTAAAGGTTGTTCTGCAGTCTTTACAGTCCATTGTATTACTTAATGATCTCTGTCTCTGACTCTTCTCTGACTCTTCTCTCTCTCTCTCTCTCTCTACACACACACACACACACACACACACACACACCTGTTTACTAAGCGGCTGTTTTATTGTCTCTATTATGTTGCAAACTTTTAGAGGCCCCAGCCAATATCCTGTCATCACAGGTGAGCAAACAAAGTCTCAAAAATTCTCTGATGTGAAATTGTGTACATGGGCAGGTTGACGAACTTTATGTAAATTAGTAGTGGAGAGAAAGTTTTGTTAGCAAATTCAGAAGGAAAAGGCAAGAGAGATCCTCCAAATATAGTTTAGAATCTTGTTCTTCTGTCTTCAGGGTCCAGATTCCATGATACTTCCTTCAAAAGTCTTATCTAGCCAGCGATACGCTTATAAATGCTCCACAAACTGCTCTATGCAGAAAGGTGCCAACTTATAACATCGTCAGATCCATGCTGTGAGCTCTCCAGGCGTGGCTGCTGGAAGCATCCATCCTGGTGGCACCATATGTGCAGAGGGGAGGCCACACACCTGGTGAGCTCCTGCTCGCTGGTGAGGGCTGGCTCCTGGACCCCACTCTCCCCCGCTTGGCTGTCACGACTCCATGTCTCTGCTTTTCAATTCAAGCTACTGCATCAGTCTAATTCTGCCGGGCTAGTCTACCTTTCCACTACAACTATAAGAACTATGAAGACAGGACTATAAATCCACCACAGAACCATTTACAAAAAAGTCAACTCTGTGTGCATGCATGCAYGTGGGTATGTGTGTGACAGACAGAAACATATGCAATCTTTCATCTAATTGAAGCCTTTAAAATATTTTAAATATTTCTGATTTCTACTAGTTTATTTACATCCTAGGTGCTCTAAATCTCTGCATTCAACAAAGTCTCACTGTGTGGATGAATGGCAGTAACAGAAACCCTGTTGTTTGGACAGTAAACTGAGGGGCACATTACCACTGAGCTATGTCACCAGATCATGTCATTTTTTATTTTGCAACAAGATCTTACTAAGGCTGGCCTCAAATTCATGATCCTATTTCCTCAACCTCTCCAGTCACTGTTATTATAGGGGTCCACCATCAGACCTGGCAGTAACTCCTATTGTTAACAAATAGGGAAAGGGAGTGAGAAGGGAAATTGCATGGAAATGGAAGGCGATCCTCAGGGTTATACAAAATGTCATATAAGTGGAAAGGAGGGGTAAGACAAGAGAATACAAATGGAAGAAATGATTTACAGTAGAAGGGGTAGAGAGAGAAA